GGGGGCTTTGATATTTTATATGTGGGTTACATCATTTTAATATGATATACTTTATTTGATATGTGAGCAGGTCATTTGGCAGAAGGATATGGGCTTTATATTGTTCCCCTCTAATTTGACGAGACTTCAAGTTCATACTCATATTTGTTCAATCACAACATGTATTTGTCGCTACCCTGGAATTACAATGTTCTACCTGCTCAGTACTAAGTTTTGAGAAATAATATGATATAAAAAAAATTGATTTCCACAAAATGCCCAGCTTTTTCGAATGCAATACTTTGAATATCTTGATAACGACTCCGAATAGTCTTACGATTTTGATAGAGGAAATAGAACATTCTGTTTCTGACTTCATGGTCTTAGTAACTTAAAATGTTTTGGTTTTTTGAATGTTAGAAAAAAAACTTTGTACTTCTTAGGTAACGATGTATTAGTTGGTTTGTGGTAGACACCTTTTTGAACAATGTAGCTTGCCATTTTAAACACATTTTTAATACGTAAGCGGATTACTTCTTTTTAAAATGCCAGTTACACCTTTTAACATACACTGTTAAATAAGTGGATTACACTCTTCTAAAATGTGGATTACACCTGTTTTAATGTACGTTTTTTTTATATAAGCGAATGACGCCCTTGTAATATATGACTGCTAAACAATAGGGTTATAATGCTTTTCAACATACACCTACAGTCGACCTGCCCTAGTGACCACCTGTCCAAAACAATTACTTGCACAGAAGTGCCAGAAGACCATTTCCCACTTCTGATCTTGGAAGAAGGTGTGGGGGGGGGGAGGGGGTGTTATAATAATGCCACTGTTTAAGATGCTCACTTTTCTCCTCTACAATATACGGTTGTCTTGGACAAGTTCGACTGGAGAGTGTATTTTAATTTTATGTTGGTCCTGCCTTTTATCATGAGCCCTTTTAATAAGCATGTTACACGCTCTTTACATATACCCTTTAATATATATGTGTGTGTTACGTTTTCTCAGGAGTGACTACACCGCCCATCAGCCAAGAAGTTTTCATGAGTGGGGAAATACTGTTGGTACAGCACTATGCCTCAAGTGACGTCTGAGATTATCTGGGACTGGGACAATATTATTTCTCTCTCGCTCTCTCGCTCTCTCGCTCTCTCTCTTTCTTTCTCTCTCTCTCTCT